CAAGCTTGTTCCAAGTAGGTGCTTTAGACCACTGAGCCATCTCACCAGCCCCAGGCTCGTTTTGAATTCATGGTAATCTTCCTGCATACTGCTTTTTCAAATTTATTTATTTGTGTGTGTGTGTGTGTGTGTGTGTGTGTGTGTCCCGCTCAGCCCCCCAGGGGGCGGGGCTGGCTGGCATGTGGTGCTGGGGGATCGAACCACGGTCCCTTGTGCTTTGCTGAGCTTGTTCTAAGTAGGTGCTTTAGACCACTGAGCCATCTCACCAGCCCCCCATACTGCTTTTTCAGAGGAAGTGTTTTTTAAAAACACAAACTTGCAGTTTGCAGGCTACATAAAAATAGGTCATGGGCTGGATGTGGCTAAAGCTATACTTTGCTTCCCCAGGTGCTAATGGAACTGAGGTCTTGAAGATAATTTCTGCATATCCTCTAAGCCTTTGTGGTACATGAATGAGAGGGAAATCAGCTGCTCAAAGTGGCAAACTAGACAGTCAGCGTGCAGAGTAACTACGGGGCCTATGTTCCGGCCTGTAATTAGTCATCATGTCTTCTGAGGCAAGACCATCTGAAAACATAAAAAACCTTAACATACAGATATAAATAGTTGTATCAGAAGCCACACTTACACAACGCCAAGAAAGCATGCTTTGAAGCCATAAGAACCAGCACTCTCCGGAGGATATCCTTGTTGATGATGTAGTTCTTTATGTGGTAGGTGTGGTGCTCCACACAAAATGTTAACAATTCCAACACAAGGGCCAGTAACTGTGCAGTCTGAAAGTCATCTAAATAGAATAAACAAAACAGAGTTGTGTATAAGTCAAGATACGTGCACACACAGGAGGGGCTGCAGACACCACCTCCTCTCCGGTTCAACTGCCTCTCCTCCTCTCACGATGTCACTGTGTTCTGTCTAGTGTACACTTTCTTGCTACAAAGAAGTCCACACTGAATCGCTAAAACTGACTTGTATTTTATTCACTGCTTTCCCTGATGAGATGTTCTGGGGATTGAACCCAGGACCTCACACATGCCAGGCAAGTCCTCCACAACTGAGACAAATACTTAGTTCTTTTTTTTGGCGGAACAGCGGACTGAACTCAGGCCCCTTATTCTACTGAGACATCTCCCGGCCCCAATATATATATAATTTTTTGCCGGGGAGATGGCTCAGTGGAATAAGTGCTTTCTGGCAAGCACAAGGGCCTGAGTTCTAATCCCCAGTTCCACAAAAAAAAAAAAAAAATTATATATATATATATATATATATATATATTTATTATTATTATTTTTTTTTTTTGTAGTATCAGGGATTGAACTCGGGCCCTTGCACTTGCCAGGCAAGCACTTATTCCACTGAGCTATCTCCTCAGCCCCTAGTTCTTTTTAAAAATTTTGCTTTGTGACAGGGCCTCATTGAATTGTCCAGGCTGGCTTCAAATTTATGATCTTACTGCTTCAGCCTCCCAAGTAGCTTGAATTATAGGTGTACTCTCCTATTCAGTTCCCACAGATTATAGTAAAAACCTTACCTCTAAGTTTTCAATAAATGGTAGATGAACCAAATGAGTTTAGAAAAAGGTCTCAAGTTTCACCCAACATGAAAAAAACACAGAGAAAAAAAAAATATTCTATTTGACACAAAAAAAGAAGGTATGATTAGGCAAAGGTTCCCATTCAACCCCTAGTACCAAAAAACCAACAAACAAAAACAAAATTAATATGTATTTTCTGTAAGTGGTAGAAGTGGTGTATTAATTTAAAACACACCATGTTGAGAATGCTAATGGCAAAATAATATATTTCTAAAAAACAAAAAATAAAAAAATATATTTCTAAGGCTTCAATAAGGAATTTCCAGACAAAGGTCCTAAAACAACTCCTCCTTCACACATACACGTGCACACACACGCACACACTTAGCTGTGTACACATCTGAAATGTAAACAACTTAAAAGGAATTGTCTATAGTTATCTGATATCATCCAAGTTGATGCAGACTAAACAAAAATGACACACTTCAGTGTTGGGATCAAATCCATGGCCTCACTCAAATGTTCTATTACTGGGCTACAACCTCAGTGTATATAAGTATTATTATTACTACATACAAATATTATTTTAAAAGTATGATTTGGATACAAATATTATTTAAAAAGTTATTTTGGAAGTCTGAAAACTGAGCCAGCGAGATAGCTCAGCAGACTAAGTGCCTGCTTAGGCAAGCACAGGGACCAGGGTTTAATCCCGGGCACCACATGCTTGCTGCACTGGCCTTGTCTCCAGGCACGTTGAGCCAGCCACCAAAACTGAGCATGGTGGCACACACTGGTGCCTATAAGCCCCAGAGCTGGGGAGGCTGAAAACAGGAGGATCACTACAAGTCCGAGCTGCATAGTAAGATCCTGTGCCAAATACATTCAGGAAAAAGAAAAGTCTGAAAACTAACAAATACCCCACTTTTTATTTTACATGTTTCTGTTATCTCTGAATAGAGCTCCTTTAATACAAAATTTTAACTTTAACATTGCTTCTGAAAATGCATTAGACTCATACATCAACCTAAACTCAAACTTTTGTTTTTGTTTTTTTGAGACAGGATTTCACTATGCAGTTTTGGGTGGCCTTGAACTCGCAGTGATCCCCCTGCTTCAGCCTTCCCAAGTGCTGGGACAGGTATGTACCACCACGACTGGCAAACTTTTGAAGACTACTACTTTTTTCTGAATGTGCCACTTGCCCTAATAAAGACTATTACTTAATACCAACTTTAATTTCATAATTCAAGAATAGAGGGGCTGGTGAGATGGCTCAGTGGTCTAAAGCACCTACTTGGAACAAGCTTGGCAAAGCGCAGGGACCGTGGTTCGATCCCCCAGCACCACATGCCAGCCAGCCCCGCCTCCAGGTGGGCTGAGCTGGACACACACACAATAAATAAAACTGATTAAAAAAAAAATTCAAGAATAGAAAACAAATTGTCTTACCTTTACTAGGTTTGTCTTCTGTTGTATTGGCTAGTAAAGGAGCAGTAAGAACATGCATACAGTGCTTGTAGAAGAAACCCAAAAATTCAGTCTTTTCTGTTTTCTAAAAACAAAAAAAAACCTTTCGTCAGCTTTAACTGCACTGATTCTTACCAGCAATAAATAATATACTAACTATGAAAAGGAGGAAAAACGCCATGGCTTACATTGGCAGTGGCTAGCATGTTCTCTGGGTCAACTAACGTTCGAAGCAGGCCCATAAGTTGGACTGCCCCTCCAAGTTCAGGATCTGTATCACAAATCATGTGTTCTATAATGAGGTTGATGAGTAAAATATCCTGGTGAGAAAAATATACATAATAAGGATCATTTATTATAAGAGAGAACAGGAAAAGCAAACACTAAGGCATATACACTAGCATTATGGCTAGGTCTAGCTGTCATGCTAACTAGAAACAAAATTCAGTGACTGACTCACGTCATTAGAATACAGAGCAGTGTTTTTTTCCCCTAAGTGTTAGCCACGGGGACATTACACAGTACCGAAGAAAGTTTCATTTTGATGTTTTTAGGTTTTTATGCTTCTCTAATAAGTCAATCTTACTGTCTTTAATAATTCTATTTTTAGCAAATAATACCTGCTCTCAATTTATATAACTGTTTAAGTTTCCTTTAAAATAAATTTAGGAAAACAGATGACATCCTATGGCTGAAATTAAGGGAAATGGGTATACAGTATGTACAGAGCACACAGAAAAACAAGATTACACAGCATACAAATGCCAAAGAAAACAGACTACTGGTTTTCCTGAGGCCCTGTTATGACTAGTGTTCCCAGCCTGTTAATCAATGGGCAATCCAAGGAGAAAATTTTCTACTCCTGTATGGTAAAGGACATGGACAGAGAAAATACAGGTGGTATATGGGAATTTTTTTTTGGGGGGGTACGGGGGATCGAACTTGGGACCTTGCATTTACTAGGCAGGCGCTTACACCACTGAGTTATCTTCCCAGCAGTATATGGAAATGATGATCAACAGGAGAAATCAACAGGCCTATGCACATGAGTAAATATAAAGTATATCATGTTCAACTAGTGGATTACATGGCAACAAGTATAATAACACTTAAATATGGTGGTTCTCAAAACATACAGGGTTATTTCATTTTTCTAAAATGTAGTATTAACATTTAATACTTCAAACTGGTACTTTTTTAGCACCTGTCCTGGAACTACATTGTGAAAACGAAATCTTAAACATAAAAAACATTGATGTTACTGTTCATTCCACTTCATTTTGACATTAAAACATATTAATCAGGATTTTCTGAAAAAGTTAAAGGCTTTTTGTCTTTTTGAGACAGGGTTTTATCCTCAGTTCAGGCTGCCACTGATCCTCCTGCCTCAGCCTCCCAAGTGCTGGGATTACAGATGTGTACCATACAATTTCTAAGAGCCCTTCATATTACCTGGATATATAGTTACACTAACACTGAACTATGTACTAGAATTTCTCATAAATGGTAGTATGTATCCATGTGTATGAACAAGACATCAGCTTATTATTTATGGTTAGAAAACAGCTCCTTAAATACTTTTCAAGAACTGTTTCATGTCTTCATTATTGATGGTTCAGGTATTTTTAATCCTAGCAAAGCTAACATTTTCCTAGGCTAGTTACTCATAATCCCACATGTGGAAATGATAAATTTAAGTAAGACAACTATTAGAATTAAAAGAGAACGTCAAAAACTTTGACAGAAACTGAAATTAACAAATCACTGTTGTAGGGCAGTTTATAGACTAAGATATAAGCCCTACTTGGGGGAACTATAAGCCATTGGGTATTATGGCTACATTCCCCCAAAGGCAATAATTTAAATCTTCAAAATTAAAAAACAAACACAGCTATAGCTCCAGGTATAAATACTTACGATTAGCGCAAATAATATTTACCTTGCTGGTTATTTTTTGCTCTGTTAACTTCTTACTTACATCATCATTCTGTTGTGCCTCCTGCATGACAAACTCTCGTACCATGGATGGATTATATTCAACCAAGTATGAGAATATATCAGTAGCAGCACTTCGCACTTGTGTATCATCCATGCCCTGCAGAGAAAAAGCACTTATTCTCATGTAAGTATAGAACTTAACAGGTACGTAAACACCTACAGCTAAATAAATTACAGTCCCGCCCCTGCCTGCACCTCGCCGTCTGGCCCTGCAGACCCTCGCTGTGCTGCCCCTGGCCCTCGTGTTGGCCCGGCCCTCAGGTGTACTATGTCTGGCTCTTCCAGCGTCGTCGCCATGAAGAAAGTGGCTCAGCAGCTCCGGCTGGAGGCCAGGCTCAACCGCGTGGTTTCCCAGGCAGCTGCAGACTTAAAACAGTTCTGCCTGCAGAATGCTCAGCATGAGCCTCTGCTGACTGGAGTATCCTCAAGTACAAATCCTTTCAGACCGTAGAAAGTCTGTTCCTTTTTGTAGTCAAATGAATTCTTAAGAGTTTCCCAGACCACTTTTAACCAACCAGTGACTATTCAGAAAAAGAAAATTGAAGCCTGTACAACAACTTCCCCTTTCTTAACATGTGCCATAACATACAAACTTCTACTTTGTCAGTCCTTAACATCTACCTCTCTGGATTTTCATGAATTTCTATTTCATGAGGGTATTATATATATGCTGGTGCTAACATACAATAAAATACTTAGTATAAAAATAAATAAATAAATAAATAACAACACACCCCAATGTACTGTCGTAGGTAATGCTTTTGTTCAACAGATTAAAAAAACTACCTACTAGGGCAGCCAAATTGCTCAATGGATTAAAGTGCTGGGGTTCCATCCCCAGGCCTGCACTGGCCCCTGGCCCTGCCCCGAGATGTTGATTGAGACTGGGCATGGTGGTGCATGCCTGTAATCCTAGAACTTGGGGAGGCTGTAAACAGGATAATCACTAGAGTTCATCTAGTAATGAGACCCTGAACACCCTGTAGACCCTTCAGTGAAAAATACAAAATCACTTATTCTTATTTTAATATTTAACAGGCTACAAAAAAAGCAAAATATTAAAAATATATATATAATTACTTTAATGAAATATTCTTTCAATGAAGTGTGAAGAGGGCTGGGGAAATAGTTTGACAGTCTAAGCGCCTGCCTGGCAAGCACAAGGACTGGGGTTCAATTCTGGATACAAGTGGTGCCTGGCACCAAGCTGCTGCTGAAACTGGGCATGGTGGTGCACCCCTGTAATCCCAGCACTGAGGAGGATCACTATGAGTCTGAACTGGGTAACAAGACCCTGTATCAAATCAATCAATCAATCAATCAATCAATCAATCAATCAATCTTAAAAAGAACAAAAAAACTTAAAAAAACAAAACTATAGTGTATTGACACTAATTCTAGAATTTTATTGTTTCTTTAGCTTCATGAATCACACAATATTAAATACCAAAAGGGCCAGCTAGATAGTAGACTAAAGAGTATACTTAGGCAGATCGCAGGGGTCTTTGATGCTTGGCACAAGCTATGCTGGCCCTGGTCATGGGGCACAGTGAGACCAGGGATTGAGACTGGGTGTGGTGTTGCACGCCTGTAATCCCAGCGCTCGGGAGGCTGAAAACAGTAGGATCACAAGTCCAATCTAGGATCTATATAGTGAGACCCTGCACTAAACACATTAAAAAAAAAAAAAAAGTATTTAAAAAAGTGATTAAAAATGAGGGGAAATAAACTTACGAGGATGACTTCTAAAGCTGGTAATATGCCCATATTTGACAAAGTCTTGAAAAAAGCATCTCTGTTTTGAGGTTGCAGCGTTTGGGAAAATGCACAAAATTCTTTCAGAAAGTTAACCTGAAATTAAGGAAAAGGTGTAAGTGTTTAATCTGAGATTAAGAGAAAATAGATACAAAAATTGCTTTTATCTTATGCTTTTTGTAACATCTAGTTTACCAATTCCTGTCGCTTTTCCTCATCTGTTGCTTCATCTGTTAGTTGTGCAAACAAATCTGTCAGAAATTTTTCATCTTCCTGTGAAATAAAGGACAAATTTAATTATGCTAGTGGTTGACTGTATAAAAATGATTTCAGTATGCTCTAAGATATAAATTGTAACTGGAAAAAGGAGCAATGGTACTAGTACTAGCAATGTTGTTCTAGCAAAGAAAGAAAAAGCAAACTATTAAAAAGACATACATTGCAGACTACTATCATAAAGGTTCTACTTTTTGGCATGGTTCTATTTCCTAAGACTACTTCAGAGCACATAATAAATATCTTAGCCTTGTGGGCCTAGCGTGGTTTTTTTTAGTACAATTACTCAACACTGCTATTACAGTATGAAAGTAGTCAGACAATATTATGTAAATAAATGAAGATGGCTGTATTCCAATAAAACTTTATTTTATAAACAGCAGGCATGGCACAGCCTTAGTTTGCCAACCCATTTTTATAGATTTACGTAACCTAATTTTAAAAGTTAATGTTCTACAATCTTTCAAATGAGGACAAAGATAAAGCTTTCTTCATTGCCTGCCTCGCTCTACAAGGAATTGAATCCAGAGCCTCGCACATACCAGGTAAGTATTTGTTACCATTGAGCTATATGTCCACCTCTTTTTGAGACAAGGTCTTGCTAAGTTGCCCAGGGTGGCCTTAAACTTGTGCTCCTCCTACCTCAGGCTACTGATTATCATGTGCTACCATGTCTGGCTGATTCTGCAGGTTTTAAAGATACAAAAATGAGGGCCAGGTTGCACACACTTGTATTCCCACCCACTGAAAACCTGAGTTGGAAGGATTCCAAGTGTGAGTCTTACCTTGCCAACAGACTAAGAAACTCACCCCACCCCATAAATTTACCCAAATTAACAGTCTTCCTGGTTGCCTGTTGATTTTCCTTGTCACTATTTTTCCTAAAAACTATTAATATTTTTGTTCTATGCTATCTCAGCTAGAGGTACATTCAATACCTTAGCCTTACATCTGCTAAAGTCTGAAAACTGCACGCACAACTAAATATGAAACTTCCTACTGTAAGCTTCATATTCATTACTGTAGATGTTTAAGAGAAACACTTTCTGTACAACACTAAATTAGTTGCCTAGTCTTACCTCTCCTTTTCCTAAAATATACAAATATAAAAACATATCTCATTACATGGAGCTCTGACCATGTTTGTTATCACATGGCATCCAATTTCAAAACATATTTCACACACTGTAAGAATGTTTTATTAGGCCAGGGATATAGCTCAGCAGCACAGTACCTGCCTGGCAAACGCAAGGTCCTGAGTTAGATTCCCAGTTTACTGCCCACCCCAAGAGAATGTTTTATTTAGGTTGTACCTCAAAAATGTTGTGCTTTGACAGCACTTTTGGAAATAAGGGCCTAGTATCAAGAGAAACAGTAACACAGAACTGGCAGCTAGCATTTTACAGGGTATAGTGTAGAGAAGCAAAGAATGAACTTAAAATTATTTAAACTTTATGAGTAAAACTGGTATTTTACTCATATGGAGTAAGAAGGCCAAAAAAATGGAAGTGACAAATCCGTATCATAGAGAAAAGGTTAGTATAACTCAGGACCTTCAGACACCAGGAATCAAAACTAGACCAGAGAATGAGGCTCTACTAGCTAGCAATAGCAAGTTTTTGTAAAAATATCAATAAAAATTACTACAAGACAATATTATTATGATAATATGAAATGGAATTTATTCTACTTTTAGGAAAACGAGTTGCAAGTTAAAGTATCCAGAATTTGAAAATCCCTATCTGTCTGTCTGTCTGTCTGTCTGTCTGTCTGTCTGTCTATAGTGTAGTTGAGAACCGGCTCCACCCTGCCCCCAGGGCATGCTGAGAAGGCAATTAAGACTGGTGTGAGCCTATAATCACAGCTCTTGGGAGGCTGTAAACAGGCAGGTCACAAGAGTCTGATCTAGTCCCTGTAGACCCTTCCCTAAGATAGAAAGAAAGAAAAAAAGAAAGTAAGTAAGTATCTGGTACAGGGTCTCATTATGCAGCTCAGACTTGTAGTAATCACCCTGTTTTCAGACTCCCCAGCACTAGGATTACAGGTGCACCCCACCGCACAGGCTCAGCATGCCCCAGGGCGGGGCCAGTGAAGCATGTGGTGCTGGGGATTCAGTGCTGGAGCACTTGCCAAAGTAGCCACTTAGTACGCTGAGCTATCTTGCCAGCCTAATCCTAAACTTTCTAAGCACTAATATGATAGTCAAAAAATTTTGGAGTTTAGAGCATTTTTTATTTCAACTCCCCTATTTATATTTATTTAACCTTCAAAGTCTATGCAATCAGAAAAACTGAAATCAGAAATATTTCTGATTCATGCAAAAGCACAAGGACAATAGATTTTCTAAAACAGATTAGGCATACTGCTTTATTTGAAATAAATGCCATCGAGCAGTCTGACATGCATGCACTTCTCTACATTTAACAAATTCATGATTTGTGTTTTACTTGTATTCTTGAAGTCTTAAACTATCTTCCAAGTCATACCATACTTATCTGTCATTCTTACATGACCATGGGTATTATAGAAACAAAAACCAAGGGAGAAGGGCTCTCAAAAACAATCTTTCTTAACACTATTCATATATTACCTTTTTAGTTAAAACAGAGCAATTTACATAGCATTAGATGAATGAGCTTTGAGGACACTACAAATGCAGACTATGGGATAGTCCCCAGAACTGATTATATTGTGTAGAAACTACGATGTGATTCTGAAACATGTATCTTATTAACAACAGACCTGAGACTGGACAAACTACAGAAAAAAAATTTGAAGTATAATAAGCAATCATCAGTGGGTATCTTTTAAAAACATCATGTTTAACACCGAACATGGAACACTTCACTTGATCTTCCACTTTACAGAGTTAAGGCACTAGTATCACCATTCTTCAGGTAAGGAAACAAACTCACACACAGCAACTATTAAGTGAAAGAGTGAGGGCTGGCTAGATAGCTCAGAGGATTAAGGCGCTTGCCTAGGCAGAGTGTAGTGGCTGTTTTTTCCTGCCAAGTGACTGGTTTGATCCCTGGCACCAAGCTGTGCCAGCCCTGTCCTCGAGGCACAATGAGAGGGTGACTGAGACTGGGCATGGTGGTATACACCTGTAATCCCAGTGCTTGGGAGGCTGAAAACAGGAGAAACCCGAGTCCCATCTACGTAGTGATGGGACTTTAATGTACTAAATACATTAAAAAAAAAAAAAAAAGTGGTCTGCTATAATTTCTGTCTCCCTTACATGTTACAAAAACATGTCCTTTGGTAGGGGTATATACAGATATGCCTCCTGTTCTTGTCCTGTTCTCATGACCCTAAACCATAGCCTTTACTGTATCATTACCCAGGAATTCTATATATACTGTATCATTACCCAGGAATTCTATATAATTTATGTACTCAATGATATTTCTCCTGGTTTATCTTTTCTCTCCCAATCTATTCTATGATAGAATATAGTAGATTAATTATCTCTCAAATTTCATGTTCAATTATTTCTTTAGTATTATCTACTAAAGGCCAGGGAGACAGCTCAGAGGAATAAGCGCTTCCCTGGCAAGCGCAAGGGCCTGAGTTCAATCCCTGGTTCCGCAAAAAAAAAAAGTATTATCTACTACAACTTATTGTCCCCCCCACCCCATTTTTTACTGTTCCTTTTTGAAACGCTAGGGATTGGACTCATGCATGCTAAACAAGAATTTTTTTTTTTTTTTCCTTGTGGTACCCGGGGAATGAACTCATGACCTTGTGCTTGTCAGCCAAGCACTTTTTCCACTAAGCTATCTCCCTAAGTCCTAAAGAATTCTGTCACTGGATGTATCTCTAGGCCCAACCTACATTTCTCTATCAAACTTATATTCCACATCCAAATACAACAACCTTCTGGTCTCAGAGCATTACTATCATAATTTCTTGCAACATCAACACACTTTTTATTTTTTGTGCAGGGTTTCACTATACAGCTTAGATTCGTGGAGATCCTCCTATTTTCTGTCTCCTTAGTGCTGGGATTTCAGGCGTGTGCCACTACACACAGACTCCATCACTGGCTCAGCATGCCTGGGCGCAAGGCCAGCGTTGCACGCGATGCCAGGGATTAAACCTTGGCCTCTGTGCTTACCTAGGCGCGCTTAGTCCGCTGAGCTATCTCGCTGGCCATAACATGCTTAAAGTTTTAACAAAACTAAACTCAGTTCAAGGATTTAAAAAATGTTTTTCTGTTTAAGGCAATTAATATTTTAAATAGCATTAAGAAAGTACCTTTTTGGGCTGGAGAGATGGCTCAGTGGTCTAAAGCACCTACTTGAAACAAGCTTGGCAAAAGCACAGGGACGGCGGTTCAATCCTCCAGCACCACATGCCAGCCAGCCCCGCCCCCTGGTGGGCTGAGCTGGCCACACACACACACACACAAATAAATGCAAAATAAAAAAAAAAAAAAAAAAAAAAAAGAAAGAAAGTACCTTTTTAGGTAGGAAAAAGTCAACTTACCTGTAACATACCAACAATTTCTACCTTATTAAAAAAGATAAAAGAGTGAAGTGTTGATAACATATTTTCTTCAAAGACTGAAGGGGTAGGGAGAACCATATCTTGTATATACTGAACTCTGTATGTCTGATGAATTTTTTGTTTCAGCTCAGGATCGGATATGGGAATCACTTCTTTGAACTTGGCTGTTTTGGTTAGAAATTCCCTGTGTTTTCGTGGTTGTGATAAAGCAGGATCATACTCTAAACATCCTATGACGTCCATTATGCATTCCTCAGAGAACATAACCTCAAAAAGAGCAGTTCGATTCAAGAGGAAGATGCCTTTGATAATTTCATACAAGTGGTGCAGTCCTTCAATATTTTCCAAGTCTTCACACACATGAAAAAGCTCTAAGAGCTTTTTAATATAACCCTCATTTTCCAGTGCTAGTGCAAGTTTCTCGCGACGGAGGGGGGAAGGTAAAGATGATGCCACAAGTTCAGCAATTTCCTCGAGGCGGCTTAATTCACAAGATGGCAATTCTAAACCTGGTGATGACATATCATCGAATCTTTCCTCTTCAGATTCATCCACAAGGTCCTGAGTGATGTCCACTGAAGGGTCCTTTCCTTGAACCTATAAAAAGAATTTGTTGTAGTTAGCAAACTATAAATTAAGTCACGGGGGCTGGGGCTATAGCTCAGTAGCATAAATGCCTGTGGGGAAAAGCACAAGGTCCCACGATTGATCACCAGTACTACCCCAACCCCCCCCCAAAAAAACAAGTCGGGCATTGTGGTGCACACCTGTAATCCTAGCACTCAAGAGTCGGAGGCAGAGGGAGGGTAAGCACAGTAAGTCTGAGGCAAGCCTAGGCTATACCATGAGTCCAAGGCCAACTTGAACTACATAGTGAGGTACTGTGTCAAAAACAAAACAAGAAAACAAAAATAAAAACAAAAAAACCCAGATGGGGCAATAGCTCAGACGCACCTGGCAAGCATGAGGTTATAAGTTCGTTCAATTCCCAAGGCCACACAAACAAACAAACAAACAAACAAACAAACAAACCCAGCGAGCCTGCCAGGTGTGGTGATGCACCTTGCAACTCCAGTGTTCAGGAGGTTGAGGCTGAAAGATTGCCATGAGTTCAAAGACAGTCTGAGCTACATAGCAAGACTACCTCAACAAAACAGCAAGCCTAAATAATACCCTTAGATGAATACAAGAAATGTTACAAGAAAAAATTAATCTTCAAATTTGAGAATTTTTTTTCAAATTTGACAAAACTATTTTACTAGGTTATGTTACTTTTCTCCAAATAATATATACTCTCAATGTTCAGAAAGTTAATTCAAAGTTCAGAGATGGGGGGTCTGCCCCTTAGCTCAGTTCTTTAAGTGGCTGCTTCAACAAAGCAGTCAGGCTCAGGTGGCTGTGGTTCGATCCCCACAACTCAAGCCAGTCAAACCTGCCCTGAAGGCATTGGGAGCAAAAAAACAACAACAACAAAGTTCAGAGATGGAGGGCCGGGGAGATGGCTCAGTGCCTGAATTCAATCCCTGGTTCTGCCAAAAAAAAAAAAGTTCAGAGATGGAATGAACTTTTTCCTACAGTGCAAGGTCGTCAGGCTTCTGTGGATAGGTTAAATCAAGACTGGGTGACTGGGCTGGGGAGATGGCTCAGCAGTCTAAGTGCCTGCTTGGCAATAGCAAGGACCTGGGTTCGATCCCAGGTACCACATGCCGTGCCAGCTCTGGAACCCTGGGCAGGCGTGTCGTGCTGCGCCAGCCACTGAAACCAGGCATGGTGGTCATGTCTGTAATTCTAGCCCTGGGGAGGCTGAGACAGGAAGATCACTGTAAGTCTGAACTGCACTGTGTGGTGAGACCTTGTTACAAAACAAATTAGTAAATATCAAAAAACCAATGAAGACTGATTGTTCCCTTGCAGAACTGAAACAGAGTCCCGATGCCAAAATACCGACTTATTGTTTCCTATCTACACTAGGAATAGGAGATCTGAAGACACCAGGGGGAAGCTCAGAAACATTCCTGGGACTGTCCTATAGATAGTCCTAACCACCAAATTCTTCAATATTTAAGTAAAACTCAAACACATCATAATACTGTGATCATAGTAAGTATTTGTAATTAAAAACAAGGCAAATTCTTCTTTTGGCCGGCTCTGCTCACCCTGAGCTGAGCATGGCTGCGTGGCATGTGGTGCTGAGGACTGAAGTGCGGTCTCCTGTGCCTGCCTATGCTTGCCTTAACAGACGCTTTAGATCGCTGCGCTATCTTACCGGTCCCAGACAAGGAAAATTCTTAACTGAATTGTCAACTGACCCAAGAAACCAAGGGCCAAATATATGAGCAAGGCCTAGATTCACTTTGAACCACAGTGGGCCAAACACTTGCTATACAGGCTAGTTGATAGCTCAAAAAAATATAAGAAAAACTGGAGTTGGGTGTAGTAGTGCACACCTGTAATTGCAAGATTCTGGGAGGCTGAAGCAGAAGAACAGTAATTTTAAGTCCTGCATGGGCAATTTTAGCAATTTTCTCAAAGGTGTGCGTGTGTGGGGGTGTTCTGAGGATGCAGGGCAGAGGGAAGGCTCTCACACAAAATGAAACAAAGTGCCACAAGACCTAACAGGATACAAGTACACCTATACAAAATTAAAACAACAACAAAAAAACCACACAAAATTGAGCCACATCTAAAGTACAATCTATATGTTAACAGAGTTATCCCCCAAGAATATCTGTTGGAAGTAACCGAACTTTTTTTTCCCCTATACATCCAAACCTATAACCTTTATGATCATCTAAAAGTCCTTAAAATTTATTATGTAGCCCAAATTTGTCACTATAGAAATTTTTAACTGCAAAAAGATGGCTTACAATTCTTCATAGTCAATAAATGTATGTTTATAAAAAACCAAAGGCATGTTCTGAAATGACTTTTTGCCACTGTGGCCCCAAAATTTGCGACTCTTGACAAAAGCAGCCCCAGTGGTCCAGAAAAAGGTAAAGAGGTGGGAAAATCAGACCTTATATAAAACAGCCATGAAACTTAAAACACTTGTCATGGTTAAAAGATACTGTTGGTGGATACCGCAAGGCAAGATGGCCTAGAATATTTGTCTTAAAATATGATGCAGGGGCTGGGGAGATGGCTCAGTGGAATAAGCGCTTCCCTGGCAAGCGCAAGGGCCTGAGTTCAATCCCCGGTTCCGCCAAAAAAAAAAAAAAAAATATGATGCAAGGTGAGATGGTCCTGACTTTACCCAGTGGGCAACACTACTAAAAGGAGATTAGGTATCTTCAGTCTACCTGGCATAGTTTCAAGTTGGCTTTGGATCTCCTTATTATATATATTCTTTTTTTTTTTTCCTTTGGCGGAACCGAGGATTGAACTCAGGCCCTTGCACTTGCCAGGAAAGCGCTTATTCCACTGAGCCATCTCCCCGGCCCCTATATTCTTAATAAAACCTGACTTTTAATATTTAAGCCATGGCTTTACCCACAGCAGACTATTAAATTTTGATACATAAACCCAATTAAAAGGGACAAATTTAAGAAGAATACAATCTTCTTGAGTTCAAACCTAGTACCTGCTATCAGGCAGAGTACTTAAAAAAGTTTTTAGCTGCTTGTAGATCAGAAAATGGTGAATGGGGCTCAAGAAATGAACACATGAGATCTAAGAAAACACAATTTACTAATTGCCCCAGAATGAGTCAGGATCCAGAAACTGCTTAGGTAGCAGAGATAATCCATACACACCAAGAAATGACACTCTGAACACGAACTATGTAAGACTTGAAGGGAAAGACCAGATAACACAGAACAGCCAGTGCTTCCTGTTATCATAGGGGAAACACGTGACTACTATACTACCTGTACTCATAACAAAGACAACTGAAGAATGTGGTATTAAAGACTAAAGAAAGGTAAAGATCAGATAATATTTTTTTAAAAATTAGTTTCTTTCCTTCTTTCTTTCTTTATTTTTTAATGTGTGTGTGTGTGTGTGTGTGTGGCCAGCTCAGCCCACCAGGGGGCAGAGCTGGCTGGCATGTGGTGCTGGGGGATTGAACCGCGGTCCCTGTGCTTTGTTAAGCTTGTTCTAAGTAGATGCTTTAGACCACTGAGCCATCTCACCAGCCCCAAGATCAGATAATATTGAAGGAGAGCCAGGCAGGACAGTTACAGATTTAGAGTCTGGAGGTGAGTTATACACATTAGCCAAATAAAAGACTATACATACGGAGTGTATTAAACTCAGAAAGATTAGGGAGAACAAGATTTGCCTGAAGGCAAAATGTGATGCTGCATGCCTGTAATCCCAGGACTCAGGAAGCTGAAGCAAGAAGACTGCCATGAATTTGAGGCCAACCTGGGCTACATGGTAAGTTCAGGGCTAGCCTAAATTCCATAGCAAGACCCTGTCTCAAATAACCAACCAACCAACAAACCAACCAACCAACCAACCAACCAACCAGCCAACCAACCAACCAGCCAGCCCACCCACCCACCCACTCAGAAAACAGAACAAAGACTTCTCTGAATAGTCAATGCTTTTAGCAAGTCTGAACTCATTAATGGCATCTCTTTCTATGAAAGAACTCCACAGGACAAAATCAGAGGAGTATGTAACGAAAACAAATGTAGGACAAAAAACAAAGGAAAAAAAGCAAGCATTCAGCTGAGTATGGTGGCACATGTGTAATACAAGTGCTCAGAAGGCTGAAACAGAATGATCAGAGAGTTCAGGGCCAGTATGGGACACACAGTGGCCAGCCTGAATTCTATACTGACACCCTGCCTCGCCATGCCCTCCTCCAAAAAAAAAGAAAGGCATTCAGATATATTCCTTTGGGTCCTAGGGAAGGAAACAAATAACTTTACAGACAGGTTAATTTATATGAAAAACAGCTAAGTAGAATGTGTGGCAGAACTAAACTCTACAAATTAAGGAAAAACCACAACTTCAGGACATTGTAGCTTCTATTAAGGCAGTGGCTCTCAAACTTCACCATGTACCAGAACCAGCAAAATCAGAGGTTGACCACTGATAGCCAAATTCAGTCCATCTCTGTGTTTGTAAATAAAACCTTCACTAGAAGACAGCCGCACACATTCATACATGCCTATGGCTACATTTGAACAAATAGCAGAGCTGAACAACTGTGAGATTATATAGCCTGCAAAAATATTTACTGTACTTTTGATCTTTTCAAAGTGTGACTGAGAGATCAGATATAATTATAGGACCCCAGTTTCTGATCTAGTAGATCTGGTGTGTGGGTTGGGGGCACAGAATTTCTAATCTAACAGTTCTCAGGCCATGCCCCTACTGCTGGGTTTAAGGCACACATTTTGAGAACCAATACATTTTGAAAAACCATTCTCTAACCAAAATAAATGTAGAGATGGAAAACTCCAGAATCAGTAACATTCAACCTTAGAGACAAGGTGAGATTGACTAGTCAAGAACTAGTGTTCAAGAACTGTGCAAAGGTGGGTTTTATTTCAAGAGCCCCAAGAAGAAATAATGATGTGCTTATACTCATACTTTTTTTAAAAAAATCAAGGGCCTGGAGATGGCTCAGTGGAATAAACACTTCCCTGGCAAGCACAAGGGCCTGAGTTCAATCCTCGGTTCCACAAGGGAAAAAAAAAAAAGATCATTCTTTTGATATGATTTTGGGAATACCAGTCAACATAAAACCAATGTACAAGGCAAGAAATGGTAGCCTGACAGTGGGTTTAAGATTAAGTACAGAGGGGGACCAGGGAGATAGTTCAGTAGAATAAGCGCTTGCCTGGCAAGCACAAGGGCCTGAGTTCAATCCCCAGTTCCGGAAAAAAAAAAAAAGATTAAGTACAGAGGGACAGAATGGATGATAAGAGTTGAACATGAACCATAGATTTCTAGTTCTAGCAACCAGATTGCATTTAACAAGATCAGGATAATAGAATGAATAGCTCTAGCTTAGAAGACCACATCTGATTTTAACCACAAAATTTGAGATGTTAATGAACCCTCAAAAGAGAGCTCTTGAGAAGGCAACAGCATATAAAACTCAAGTTCAGCAAAGGTCTAGGCTAGATCACAAGCTGTTAAAAAACTCAGCCTTCCTTTAACTCAAAATTTTTCATAGATGGCAGTGAATTTAAATTATCTGCTTGAAATCTATTTAAATTTGGGGGTATTGGTTGAAAGCACTGTAAAAAGATAAATATTTTAAACAATGAATACTGGTTTTCTATTTTTAAAATTACCTGACATATTTTCTCCCAAATTTCATCACATCCAGCTTTTTCTTGAAAGCTAAGGGCCAAGTCATAATTTTCTGCTTCAGACCACACAATCAGAGTATCCTTTGGATTAAAAAAAAAAAAAAGAATGATTAACATACATTATCACAAACTATAAAGTATAAGGCAAATGAGCAAAGCAACAGGAATTGAAAACTTTTTCTACTACCACTACTGGTAGTTACCAATCACCTTCTATACATTTTGCCCAATCTATAAATCAAAACTAATGTTTCCCTTAAGAAGAATGTTTGCCCATCAGAATACATAGTATTTATGCATTAAAAGATACAAATTCTCGGGACTGGGGAGATAGCTCAGTTGAATAAGTGTTTGCCTGGCAAGCGCAAGAGCCTGAGTTCAATCCCTGGGCTTTGCAAAAAACAAAAACACTATGTTCTCATGTTACATTTTCTCATTAAAATGCCACATAAGTCTGAACATATATAACTAGAGCATGACTGAGGCTAGGATCAATTAAAATTTCTTTCCTCTATTGCAAACAAGAGATTTTTACACAAAGCACATGACATCCATTAACTTTTTGAAATTTATTAGCTAAATTTGTAAAAGATGAGCACCTATCTGGACAGAGATTTTTTAACCACATGCCAGTCCAATTATTTAAAAATTGCATATTGTTTTTATAACAGGAAATATAAAAGTGACAGGTTTTTTTTTCCACGATTTTACTGATAAATAGCGGTGAGACAGTTTCAAACCAAATTGGTAGGAC